AAAAAAAAAAAAATGTTTTTTAAAGAATTCTATCCTAAAAATATGTCTGACTTGATAATGTAAATTGGCACTCTTCTGTACTGTATTAATGAATGAATTCAGTCTATTTAGCAGTGTATAGTATCAAATTCACCTTTACCTACAGAACAATTCCAATGAGGGGATTACTCTAGACAAGACTCCAAAGCAATGACGCTTGCTGCTCCTGGTTTGGCTGTTTTGTAAGTTTTTCTACAGCTTTCACACCAGTCCTACCAACTACATATCTCAAATCTGGATACATCTGAAAGTAGCTTCAAGGATTTCCAAGATAGACTCAATGACAAGTGGCCATAGTGGCAAAAGAACTCTATTTTTGTCTGTCTAGAATACAACCGATGACATTCTACCATGTTATATGTACATATCATCATCAAAATAAGGAAAAGCTACCTATGTTCACAATTATGTGAATTTCAATTCTTTTTAATAGGAACACAGTATCTCATTGATACTTACCTTCTTTTTTATTACTCTTTCTCCTTTAAAAAATCTCTGTGCTCTACTTTCTACCAAAGATTTTCTCTCAGCTGGAGTTAGTACTTCATGGATTCTGTTCACCTCTTCTCTGTATGCCTTCCACTCTTCCTTATAAGCATCTTCATACATCTATACATAAAAAACTCAGAGAAAAAGTCAATGAACCATTGCTGGCAAATTCAACATAGCACATTTGCCAAGGAAGACAACTATATGACTTTAGATAAAGACAGACTGAATCACAGGGGAAAATGTGCTCTAGGATGAGATGTATTTTTCTAAGAGTACCAATTAGGCACCATTTTCAAATTGCTGCCAACCACTGACCTTTACCCCTATACATTCACATTTTCATCATTTATGTGGATCAGAAGGTATAAAGTTACCCTACAGACAATGGATGTTAAAAAGAAAATGTGGGCCATCTAGTTCTTAAAGGACACAACAACTTTTAACTGCAGAATAACTGGTCTGCAATGTTGAAAAAATAGCCTTACCTTTTTCTCAGCATCAGAAAGTTCCTTCCATTGTTCTCCAAGTCTTTTTGCTAGTTCTGTAACTTTTAATTCTATGAATTGGAATAAAAGTGAAAAAAGACGTCAGAATTTTATGTCTTGGGATTAATTTCTAAAAAGAGTACAATCTATTAGCTCTAAAAGCAATTTACGTTACAGATACACTATACCACACTTAATACAATGATTTAACTTTTCTTTATACAACTAAGTATGGCAAATTAAAACTTCATCCAACAATGTGAGAAGCCTATTATTTAATAACTAAGGAGTACATCATGGACTATAAAAACAGTCCCCAGAAATTGACTACTAGTAGCCAGTGTGGTGGTGCATGTCTGTAATCCCAGCACTCTAGGAGGCTGAGGCAGGGGATGGCAAGTATGAGCCAAGCCTATGCAACTTAGCAAGACCTCCACCTCAAAATTTAAAAAGAGCTGGAAATGGAGCTCAGTGGAAAGGTGCTGGGGTTATTCCCTAATATCACAAAAAGAAAAAAAAAAGAAACTGATTTTAAGCAGTTGGGTTTTTAAACTGCTTCAAATGTTTTACATCTATATTTCAATCTAACTTTTTTTTCCTCCTGAGAGGAATTATTAACTTCATAAAACTCCACTGAACCACCACAAAACATAGTCTTGATTCATGTAACACATCTTGTATTTCAATTACAAAAAATACCATTTGGAAACAAGCCATTCTTAAGTTAATCCATTATTTTCCATTTTCTTTCTTTCCTTAACTGGAATGTTGGAGTACAAGTGATTTGACAACCAAGTGTCAGTTCCAAGTCTTATATTTAAAAAGATGTGGATACTTACACATGTTTTTTAAAACTAATTCCTTATCTGTAGTATAAGCATGTTTACTGTAACTCTTTTGACTTTCACAGGTGTCCTGGGAAGTACTGTATGTAAAAAGTACTTAAAAATCACAAGCAGAGATTAGTTATTAAAGCTTTCTAGGCAGTCAACAAATACTATATCTGGCAATCTTTTTTCAGGAACTCAAAGACAATTTTCAATGAAAAAACATCTTGAAATTAGCAGAACAGTGGTATCTTGGTTCACGAACTTAATTTTTTCCACAATTCTGGTCACAGAATTCGTTCCTAACTCTAACCCACATGGGAAAAATTCTGCAACCAGAATTGTGGAAAGAATGAAATTCATGAACTGAGGCAGCACTGTAATTTACAGTTTCTGAATACTTCCACATTAGTTATTTCATTGCCACTATATGAATACCCTAAGAGAGAAGCAGCAGCTAAACTGGGTGTGGTAGTACATACTTATAATCTCGGCATCTGGGAGGCTGAGGCAGGAGGATCACTGTGAGTTCAAGCCCAGCCTAGCAAGTCTGAGGCCAGCCTGAACTACTACATAGCAAGACTCTGACTCAAAACACCCACAGAATTAAAAAAAAAAATTAAAAAAAAACAAGAAGCAGCAGCAGCTAAGCAAGAGATAAAAAGTCAATAAGGCTCTAAATTCAGCTTCTTCATTCTCTTCCCATGGTGCTTTCCAAACTACAAGTTATTTTAAATATACATGTTGGGCTGGGGACATAGCTCAGTGGTGCCTGGCAAGCACAGGGTCCTGAGTTTGATTCCCCAGTACCAAAAAAAAGTCTTTAGTTTATTTTTATTTAAAGTATTTCTATTTGGTAATAAAATGTTATATATTCTACAGACCTTCAGACAAAATGATTGCTCGAGCAGTCACTGGATGCTTTGGAAGTATACAACAAGTTTATTGTTCAACTGTTTTTGGTTTTTTGGGGGGGTTTTTTTGTACCAGGGATCGAACTCGGGACCTTGTGCTTGCAAGGCAGGCACTGGAACCACTGAGCTAAATCCCCGGCCCTGTTCAACTGTTCAGTGGGCTTTTTATTACATCAGAAAAGAGTACTAGCCCCAAAACTCCTTACCTGGGTATTGAGCTCTAAGTATGTTCATCTTTTCTCTAGTAAATCGAATGTATGAATTCACAGGTTTCTTTGGATATCCATTCAAGGTGGATGAAAACCATTTCGGAACACACACAAAACTATATATATAAAGAAAATAATCAACGTCAGGCACTTTCTTTGGTGGCCAAGTTTTATTAAAGGTAGAAAAAGGAACAGCTTCTGAAGAGGGAGTTTGGGCCAGGTAAAAATAGGAAAGAAGTACACCCTGCAGCGTGTGGGTGGATTTTTCATGCAAAATTGAACACAGTGGCCAACGTCAGGCATTTAATTGCTAATATTCACGTGAACACAAAGAGATTCCAAAAAAGGTGTCATCAAGGTGCTATATACCTGATACTTTCACCAAAAATACTAACAGCATTTCTCTTTTGGGGGGTCCCCCAGCCGTGTAGTGCTGGGCGCTCTACCACTTAGCTTCATCCCAGCTCTTCTGACTTATTTAAAACCCTACCCTAGCCAAAAGGAAGGGCCTCCAAGGCTGACATCCCACAGTCCTTATCTCTTAGCAAGGGTAAAGTGGAGAAAAGCATCTATCCTGAGCCCTGCACTTTCAAGGCCTGGATAAAGGTGCGAGACTCTTGGAGCGACTTCCCAGAGGAAGCCCGACCTGTGCTAAAGGTTGGACAATGGGGAGGGTAGCAGGAAGTACAAGGGGACTATAAGGATAAAGGCTTGGTCTCACATCCTCGGTCTCCTTGGTAAGGTTGATTCCTGCATCAAAGGTGGCAGAAATTGGAGGACAACGTCTACATTCGAGCCCTGAGATGACCCAGGCCCTGAGACCGGTCCTACCTGAAGGGTGAGCGCAGTCTACCTCCACAGCCGGCGCACAGCTCTGCTCCAGACCTTCCCGGGGTCCTCAGTACGCCCCACACACCCCGGAGGAACGCCATCGCACCGGCGGACAACGCAGTGGCCCTACCACAGAAGTAATGAACCGCACGGGTGATGACAACCGAAGTCCGCGCGCTATGCTACTGGATGTGTTAGCACGCCCGCCACTCGCGAGGCACTGTGGGAAGTCAGTCAACATCCGGTCAGGAGGCGGGGCGGAGCGGAATCTGCGCAGGCGCAGTGCTGAGTATCCATGGGCCGGGTGTGAAAGGGAAAAGGCCGTGTGTCCCCGCAGTGAAGGGTAACTGCAGAGGGCCCTGTTCTCTAGGGGGCTCTGCTGATCCACCTCTGCCCGGGATCGCCCCCGCAGTCCATCCTTTAGCTGGGTCTGGGTGCCAGTTGAGGGTCCTCACCGGGCTGTAGTCCCGGCAGGCGTAGGCCTGTGACGGCTCAAAGGCTGCGTGTAACAGTGTACGGCAAGCGCAAGGGACAGCAGTTCAGCCCGCGCTGCTCCGGGTGCGCGCTTCCAGCTGCGTTCCAGTCTGAGCACGGAACTCAGAGCAAATAGAGGGCGGAGAGCAGGGGTTTCACAAACCCGCAAATGCAGATTCCCAGGACCTCCCCCGGAGCTGTTTGGGGGGGGGCGTCTGCGTGGGGCCCTTTAATGTGCATTAACAGTGCTCCAACGTCTACCAAGTTCTAATGTAGTGGTCTTGGGCCACACTTAAAACTGGATTTAGACTCCTCCTCTACTGGACAGTAGAGCTGCCCTCCAGCTCTGCTTAACGTGAGCAGAGGAGACTTAGGCTACTGGACCGCTGATGCGAGTTCTGGTCCCGGCATTAACATTGACGTTGTGTCCTGGGAGTGTCGTATCCCCCACTAAGATTCAGTTCCCCTTTGCAAATAGGGTGGACTAGATGAATTTTTTGGTACCGGGAATTGAACTCAGGACCTTGCTCTTGCCAGGCAGAAACGGCGCCCCTGAGCTAAATCCCCAGCCCTAGGCATAGGAGTATTCATGAATATAGATTAGGTATGGAATTTTTAAAGTGTTTTTGTTTTGTTGTTGTTGTTGTTTTGTTTTGTTTTCCCATACTGGAGATGGAACTCAGGACCTTTGCGCTTGACGGGCAGGAGCGGCGCCACTGAGCTAAATCCCCAGCCCCTTAGATGAATTTGTTCAATCAAATCCCCGAGAAAGTATGACAACTACACCTTGCGATAGTGATTGATGTGATATGCAAGTGTTGACTTGTGTTGTAGACATAACATTTTCCATATGGGCAATGGTATTAAAAAGATTACGAAGATCTAAAGATATCTAAGAGCTCTTCCAGCTGTTGAGTATCAGTTCTCTTAAAAGATAACCGCCTCTTGGGAGAGACTTTCTTCTGTTGGATATCTGTAGTTGTTAAAATTTTCTTACCCCCCCCCCAAATTTTTCTTACCAATGTAAAAAATGTAATATAGTGAGCTGAGTCTTTACTACCTTTCTGTAACTGCCAAACACTGGCCCTTTGGGGCCACCCAGGACTAAGCCCACTTCTTCTTTTAAGTGGTAAACAATTATTACCACTTCCCTTTTCATAAACCTTCAGGGTTAAAAAGGACCTTCTAGGTCATCTATTCAAACCTCCCATTCTGTCACAGAAGAAACAAATTTTCCTGAGTATATACTGTTAACAAGTTGCCAAACGGAGATAAAAGTCGCATCATTTCCTTATTAAAGTCTAATGGTACAGGCAAAGAAATAATTACAACAGATGCCAAAATAAGAGTTAATTATAGGATAGAATTCCTCATAATTTCATTTAAGATGATTTCTAAAATAATTTTGTTTCCTTGCTATCTTTCTACAATGTTTTTCTTTCAGATGTTTGATGTAAAGTGTTTTGGATATTTTAAAAAATGTTTTCAAGTGTCAGTTTAAAAATTCTTGCTGTAGAGGTCTTTTAAATCAAATCAATCATATTTCTGTTTTCATCAGATACCAATCATTGTTAAAACTCATTTAAATTGCATTGATACTTTTCTTGTAAATGTATTTACAAAGAACTATATAGCTCTACCTACTTACTCAAACTGTCTTTGGACAAAAAGACATATGGTTTTGTTTATATTTACTTTATAAAACAAAAACTTACTGCAGCCTTTTCCAGGGTTTTTCCCCTTTGTTTTCAAAGCTCATAATTTCAACTGTCAGTTACATACTCATGATTCTCATATTTTATATTAAATCTAGACCTCTCCTTTGAGTTCCATATACATATAACCATTGTCTTCTGGACATTTTCACTACTATGCCTCACATGTACTTCAACACTCCCTGAACAAAATTCACCATCTTTCTTCTATCTTTTTTTTTTTTTTGGTAGTGGAGATCGAACTCAGGTTCTTGCACTTGCGAGGCAGGCAGCAGAACCATTGAGCTAAATCCCCAGCCCTATATTTCTTCTATCTTGAAGTCCTAGAGGCACCAATTTTCCACATCAGGGATCTAAGCCAATAACTTGATAAATCATTTTAGAATCTCCCCAATTGATACTCCACCTCTATGAACCCAAATGATGGTGAATCTTCCTCCTATCCTAGGAAGTGTCTGCTCCTCTCCAGTCCTATTGCTGTTGCTTTTGTTCAGACCAGTAATATGCTTGTAAATCAGCTCTCAAAAAAAGAAAGCTCTTATTTGTAATGTTTGGCATGTTCTGTGGTGTAGGTTCTCCCACTCTGGTTGACCACAAGCTACCAATCTGAAGTCACTGAGTATGAAGGTGGGCAGGAATGAGCATAATTGGCTCTGACCAGTACCAACTGGCTTAGGCTCTGCCATCTTTGCCCAAACTATTTTTTTTTGTACTGTGGATTGATCTCAGGACCTTGAGCTTGAACATCCCCGACCCGCCCAAACTATTATAGTAATTTTCCAGATTAGTTTCCCTCCAATATGTGTACCACAGTTACAGAATCAGTGTTTCTAAAAGGCAAACCCATTTAGTCATTTCATTTGTGCTGAGCACCAACTATCTGCCAGGTAGGGAATGATCCCATTTCTATACTTGAAACCTTCAATGGCTACTCATTCTTCACAGAATCAAGTTTGATTCTCATATATGAAATATCAATCCTCTATGGACTAGTCTTTTGTTTCCTCTATAGCTTTATTGACACTTTTCTTAATGTATGATTTAAATACTTATCCCTTCTTCTGATTTAATAGACATATCAAACCACTTCATGTGGCTTTGAGATTAGAATAGCTTTTGTGTGATATGGCAATGTAATGAAAAGCATTCAGTAAGGACACAAGCTTAAAAGTAAGACATATCTGGGTCAGATACTGCTCTTATATTTACTAGATGTGTGACCTTGGCAATAACAATATCTGATCCTAAGTTTTTCCCTCTATACAATGGGGATAATAATGGTTGATTCTTAGGATTATTGTAACGGTGATTAAATTATAGTGTACAAATAACCAGCATTGCTCTACTCTCCAACTGCAATTTTCACATTTCTTAAATTACTTAATATTTGAGCAGGAACACTATAATAGTTGAAGAAATCAACACACCATTAAGTTGGAATCACACTTTAAAGTATGATTCATAAATTAAAGAAAAAGAGAAAGAGAAGTTATTGTTACAATCATTGTTCCTAATTTCCAGATGAGAAAAAATGAAGTTCAGTGGTCCTAAGCTGTAAGGTTTTAAGTTGCGTAGACAAAAAAACTGGTCTTCCAGTTCACTGTGATATACTTTTCCCACAATATTAACCCATTCCTCAGACTTAGTCAATACAGCACATCATTCCAGCCCCGAATATATTCCTTGTGATCGCATGTTGTGGCTTACCATATACCATTCTTATTTCTAATCTTTTCTATGTATGCAGTTCCCTCTTTCAAGAGATGATACCATTAACAAATCCTGGCTGAGCTGTGGGGAAAAAGGAACCCTTCTCTACTGTTGGTGGGAGTGCAGACTGGTGCAACCACTGTGGAAAACAGTGTGGAAATTTCTCAAAAAACTAAAACTAGAGGTTCTATCTGACCCAGTTATTCCTCTACTTGGTATCTTCTCAAAAGAATTAAAAGCATCATACCACAGCAATATATGCACACCCACATTTACAGAGGCCCAGTTTGTAATAGCTAAATCTTGGAAATAGCCCAAATGCCTATCAATCGACAAGAGGAAAAAGATGTGGATTTTAGTATATGTGCTGCCAAAGCAAGCACAAGATGTGGTTTTTATACAATGGAGTACTGCTCTGCTATAAAGAAGCATGTGCTTCAGGCATTTATAGCTAAATGGATGGACCTTGAGACTACATTCTTAAGTGAAGTAAATTGGACACACATGCTTAAATACTGAGTTTTTTCTCTGGTGTGAGAAGCCAAAGTGGAAATAAGGACTAAAATGTATCATAGATATTAGGAAATGGGAAATGTGAAGAAAATGTTCAAATGGGAAGGGGATCAAGGGAGGAGGAAGGGAGAAAGGAAGGGAGGGACAAGAAAAAAAGTGAAAATAGAAGGAAAAAATGGAAACAAAACTTTTGTACATAGGAAAGGGAGGGGTATAAGGGGAGGGGGGATGAGATAAAATAAAATTTATTAAAATTAAAAAACTAAAAAAGAAGGTCTAAAACTAACTAAATAAATAAATTAGAAGCCTAAAATTTTAAAAGTCCTTTTAAAAAAGAGAGAGATGGTAAGTTATTTAAAGACAGGACTAGGTCGTCAGTGTCCTTTTAATCCCGCCTACTACTTATCACAGTACAGAGAACAGAGTGATGGACAGACAGCTGGATAGATGGAAGATAGATAATGTAAAAATAAATGATTTTTATATCAATTCAGACCAATAGAAAATAACAGTTTTCTATTAGAGGTATCATTTGCCACCAGAAAAAACAGTTGTGTGTAGAGATGAAATCAGTGTACAATTTTAGAATATATGTATGAAAGTAATGGTCTTGGTTAATTGATTCCGACATATTGGTAAAACAGAAAGTAGCTCCAATAAATAGCAGCAGGCCAAAAGCCTGGATAATTTGCTGGTAGAGAAATTCCCTGCTGAATAATGTGGAGTTAGATGCATGGATATCACTCAAGTGAAAGAAAAATATTACCAAAAGGAGAAAAATCCATAAATAATTTATAATGGATAATCTAGCTACAATCAGAGTAATCCCCTAATAGCTCTAGAACAATAAATAGATGTGATTCTTAGGCGTGATTCTTAGTCACACCTCTTATTCCAGCACTCTGGGAGGCTGAGGCAGGAGGATTGCAAGCTTGAGCCCACTATGGGCAACTTAGTGATTTAGCAAGCTCCTGTCTCAAAAACAGGCTGGGGAATGTGGCTCATTACCCCCCCACACACAAAGTGATCCTGAATTTATAAGTAAAACATGTCTGGAAATAAGA